CAATTATTTCGTCGAGCATGCGCAGTAAGAAATAAGGGCTCTGGGTACGAGATTGGTTCTCGTAAAGCAACCATGAATCAAACTACCTTCCTTACCTGTAAGTGTAAGTTCAGAAAAGTTCTTCTCCAAAAGTTTTTTTGAGCTGCACAAAAATTCGTGAAACTCCTTCGTATCCGGGGGGACACCGGGAGAAGAATGCGGTGAGTTCAAGAACCCTGGCGAGCCAGGCGACAGCGAAGACTTTGATGAAGGAGTCATGGGAGAGCTTTGAGAAGATGCAGAACTTAGCGACCTTAACCGACCCCCGGATGAGCCCCATCCCCCTGGAGAAGTAAGCAGCTGGCTCTCTTCCTGTACGGGTGATAATTGTATAGGTACACGTGTAGCAATGCCTTGTAGCTGCGAATTCTCTAGGTCTGCTTGTCTCTCCGCCTCGTTAATCATTTCGTGGATTTGTACCAAGGCTTGGCTAAGTAACACACCACCATTACTCAGTTCTTCAACGTGCATTGGCGAGCATGCGCGATCTGTATACGAGTTCTCTACAGACATAGGCTGACTGTTAGGGGGTAGGGACGGGGAGTGGTACTGTGCTGTTCCGTGAGCACTTGGAGTGTTGACCGTGGATGGAGAAGAGACGTAACTCTCTGATGCATCTTCTTCGTCTTCGCTGAAAGAACCAAGGTTGAATATAGATATCCTGTTAGATGATGGAATAAAGAGATTAAACATTCTTGACCAAGGAATAGACGAAGTTTTAAGAACTGTTATTTGCAATAAATGGCTAGACCTAAATTCATCTTGGTGCAATGTTTAGCCATTGAAGCCATCTTGAATCACAAGGCATAATGGGTCGTCCAGGGGGCAAGTATACAAAGCTTTGTTACAATTACAGTACACAACAAAACAATGTGACTAGAGATGAATTTAAAAAAAAAAWAATRATRATAATAGATAGTTCCATAACTTAGAAAATTTCTCAAATTTTGTAGGGTCGTCATTTCAGCATCTTTGTTTCGTTTTGCCCCCTGGACGACCCATAATGCCTTGCGATTCAAAATAGCCGCCGTAATGATCGAAGTAGTCCATTAGGTCTATACGCGCCAGCTTGTTGGTGTGTGATAGGAGGGAAAGAGAGTTATAATCTCTATAATTGTTTCACTGTAATAGCGATACACGTTAAATTGGATCTTAGAAAGAAAGATACAGTGATGTGGAATTCTAAAGAGGTTTGCGCCTTCTTTCTCTCCCATCTCACCCCTCCCCTACAACCTTGACGTTGCTACAAGTCTTACCTTTCAGGAGACRTTCTCATATAATCCTCGATGGAATCCACAACGTCGAAATACCTTCTATCCCGAGCCACTTGTAAAGGAATGCGCCCACAAGCATCTGGTACAAAAAGGGCATTGGCATGACAACACAATAGCTCTGCTACTGCCGTCTGATGCCCCAGTGCGCATGCCCACATCAGAGGTGTACAGCTGAATTCGTCTTTTCTGGAAGGATCGATTTCTTGTCGAATCAATTCACTAGCTTCAGGGTCTTTCCATTTCGTTGCCATTTCCCTGACGAGTTTAGCGAACCCTAAGGCTGCCGCCAGGTGAAGCAGAGTCATTCCGCGATACGGCCTGCTTAAATCACTCCCGTTACTGAACCTAGCTTGGAAGAGAGTTTTACAAGTCGTCATGACTCGCTCTTCGAATGTCCTACATTGTTCTTGACCACTATTTGATTGTGGAGTATTTATATTTTGCGCTTGTGGTCCAAGTCTACTTTCTAGGCGCTCTAATCTATCAAGCAGAGCGAGCTTGAAGCGGGCGTCGTCCATTGTTAACCATTCATGGCGAGTATTTAGATCCCCCGGCGTGTCGTGCACCCGGTATTCGAACACGCATGCGTTACTAACGATAAACCCATTGCGCGCAACTTGGAGAGTGACTAGACCTGGTTCATGTGGGGGACAATAACACCGTAGAACACCCACTTGGACGAGGGTAGCTTCGACGCTACACCCATCAAAGAGGCATGTGTAGAGTACATCATATGAAGACCACTCCCCTGTTACTAAAACTTTTACACCACCCTCAGGATACGACCAGTCAGGAGAAAAATCACTTATACGAGCCGAACCGGGCATAACTGTTACCGCTGTCCCTGTAGCTGCGTCTGGGATAGAAGCTTCTACTTGATGGTTACTCATCGGTGTCTGTCGACTGTCCTCTACGCTAACTGATGGCGAGGGAGCTGGTTGACCTGTCGTTTGGAATGACGTGGCATCACTTTGGTAACCAACATTTTCCAGGCGAGAGGACTGGGATGAACCATGGTTTGACATGTCAACGTCGTTTACTGGTGTCAAGCATGTTTCACTCGCACTGACCCCTAGAGTACTTGCTAACGCCGTTGTTTCAGTCGTATTAGATTGATTGAAAGAGGATGGAGTATTTTGGGTAAGCTGCTCATTTTGTTGGCGAACTTGCCCTGGACTATCAATTCTATCATTATCTTCATGAAAGGAATCGTCTTCTTCGTTACGTGACGAGTTTTCATTAGGTACATGGTCGTCTTTTTCCGGGTGCTCAATTTGTTGTTCCAACTGCGTAATTGTGTCTCTGACTTGCATTGAATTGTCCCCAGCAGAATCAGAATTGTTGAAATAATCACCAAGAACCGAGCTGAAGTCATCGCTCCACGTTCCGTAGTCCAACTCAAAGCCATTCAATTCCGGCAATTCAAAGCTCATATCCACATGGTTTGAGTCTAGAGGGGTGCTGGTGTCACGACTGAACTGGGTGACGTCACCTGAAGTATGCATGTCATGGCTGCTCGACAGAACAGAATTAATTCTGAAAGAAGACGAGTTTTGGGTACTCTGCATGGAACTAACAGGTGCAGGTACGCGAAACGGTCCATCAAATGCACTCTCGTGGCCAGTTGAACCACTCCCAAGCTCTGAAGACAAGGACTCACACCCCGAGAAACGAGTACCTGACTCGGACAAAAGGCTCCCATAATCACTTGATGGACTGGAACTGAGCTCTGCCGATACTGAATGTGGATTGGTAGAGGAGTTGGGGTAATTGTCAGAGGATTTCCCGCCACTTGTAGAATCTTGAGCAGTAGAAATAGGGATACCATGCGATGATAAGGTTGGATCATGGCTTGCCTGCTTCAAATTAGATTCAGAAATGGTCACATGACCAGAATTGTGGAAGGAACTACTATGTGTCTGATCTAGATGTCCCTCGCCGTCTACAGGCAACGAGAAGGGTCGAAATTGAAAATCCATGGGTGAACTCGAATTATGCTCTCTTTGCTCCGTGAAACTACACATAGTATTTACCATCGCATTAGTAGCGGATGTAGCAACACAGGTAGGATTATTCAAAAACGTCGTACCATTTGAATAATTCACGTCTACAGGATTGCTCTCATTCGTTGTGGATACATTTATGGTTGATGCTGAACGAACAGTACCTGGAGTAGACGACGAGCTAAAGAACAACAGAGGCTGTGAAGCAATGCCACAAGGGCTAGCATATGTAAGACGAGTATTCGTATTAATCGTAGTCACATTAGTTCTCCCACTGTCGCTATGAAAATCACCATTCGTGGATTCACTCACGTTATAAAATTGATCTGTTCTTTGAATTTCTGACCTCAAAGGTGTGTCCTGATACCCAATAGGTACACTCAGAGTACTTGTAACAGAACTCGATCCAAGTAACCGTACATTCTCCTGATTTAAACTAACATTAGACGTTGCTGATCCAGTTGTTTTAACTGGACCATTTCTGGTGATATTACAGACTGGAGTCAATAGGACTGCGGTTGTCCTTGAAGACGACTGAGGCGTGGATTGGCCCTGTATGAAACTGACGTCTGAACACTGACGGTTGCCAAGGTTACTATGACCGGACATAAGGTTTGGTTGATTGGTTTGTATGGGTAAGTGAGTAAAAGTGGGTGATCCATTGTTAGTTCTTATCCAGAGGTATGTTGACTGAGCACAGTTTGTGAGTTCAGATAAAGTTGCACCTGTTGTTGTTGCCGTTGTTTGTGATGGCGGATCTGAAGGAGATATTGCTATTTTGAATAACTGCTTTGTATTGAATGATTTCTTTTGCTGTGATAAGCTGCCAGTTGCTGACGTTGGAGAACTTGTTTCATTTTCTTCTGTGATCTGCAAATACATCACAATAAGAAGTTTGTAAAAAATAATCGTCTTTATTCCATGTTGAGATATATAGTTACTTTTCTGTTTTGCCGGGCAGAATAAAACCTTTTAACTTGAATATAATGTTTTTCCATTGCAGACCATGTTACAGGGTCGGCGGAAGCTAAAAATGTTTGGGATGGCACTGCAAAAATCTTTGGGGGGGCACTGAAGAGTATAATTAACGCTATGTGATAATGACAATGTTTTGTTTGATTGCAGACGCATGCGCTGTAAAACAATGACTAAGAACCAAAAAATTCCGGTTCCACCGCCCCTGTGTTAATTCACCATAATATCATTTGTTTTTTTTTTGTGTTTTTTTTTTTTACAGTCTATTTTTCTGCGACACATAAATGACTCCAGGCGTTTGGAGTGGTTTGGTGTTTTGGCTACTATCAATCAACTTTACCATTCAGGTGGTGGTATACATAAACGTAGGCCCATTTTCCCATTAATTTAATTTGTTTTTAATCTTTTAAGCTATTGTTCTATGAAAAAAAAGCTTACCTCAAAATTAGGAATCAAATGCTCTGCTACTCCAGAAACTAAAGTAAAAGACAACAGCAATTTACGGTTAAAATATTAATAATAGATTGTAACTCTAGTTTAGAAATTGGGGATCACCCTAAAATTGATAGGGTCAAAACCACTAAGGTTCAAGCGTGATGTCCATATTAATAAACTTTATACTCCAAGTTAAGCCCACTAGTCTGCTAATGCTAGTATCTTTAAATTACATAATTATTTATTTTTTCCTGTCTGGTATTCTAAAAAAAATGCATTGATTGGCTGCGTGAGGGGGCAGTATTTTCTATATCTGTTTGGGTTTGGTACCCTGGCATATGGCTTACATCATCCATGCATGAGCATCAGGTAACAGATTGTTATCCCAAGAAGACGAAAGACCTAACAGCCTCAGTCTGTATATTCACGCACCGTTTTGTCATATGCAGACCTCCTGGCTGGTAAATAACCTCTTGACTACTGTATATCTTTCAATTTTTTTTGTCAGTTAAAAGTGCCCCCCTCCCCCATCAGTTACAAGCCCCTCTCACATATACCACATTTATTGTATTGGTAAAACATAAAAGATTCATTTATAAATATAAATAACATTATTATTTTTTATTATTTTTATTATATAATAATAATACTAATTATTATTATTATTATTATTATTATCATTATTATTATTATTAGATGTTTTAGACTTACATATTGACTTGATTTGACAAGATATGTTAGATTTCTTCTGTTCACGAGCAAAAGTAACCTGCTCTGTCAAATCTTCTTCTATCAGGTTCAAATAATGTACCAGGACAATATCAGGGTTCTAGTGGAGGAAGAAAAAAATAACAAGATTGAAGAGATAAGCTCAAATATAAGGAGGCATTCCTTCTGTTTTAAAAGAATAAAATTCATTTTAACGCCATATCAGATCATCTATTCTGGACATGTATAGATAATCTGATTAGATGTTCAGGAACCAATCATTATCAGAACTAAAGATAACTTGATGTGTGTTTTGGGGGTTGGGGATTGACTGGTTATATTGATCAGTCATCTAGTCTCCAGCCATTAAGTAGTGATTATTCTTATGTAGTCCTGAGTCAAATATCCAATGGAGGAAGAGAGATGGAAAGATGGGGAAAAAACAGGAGCCACAATAAAACAATAGGCCCTTTGCAGTTCAATAATCACGTGGTGATTGATTCACTGAGAGCAAATGAATGTACATCTTGATTCCCATGAGTGAAACATACTGGTGAGCAAACACACTTTCTACAATCTGCTTCGAGAGATTGTATTAAAACTGCATTTTGTAACACACTGGTTACACATCGTTTCATTCAGTTCTTTACAAGTAGCTAAAAAGAATCACTAATTTAAAATAAAAACAAAAATTTTGCTCACCAGTACAGACATGTGACCGTTAACTGCAAAGGGCCTATTGTCCTGTTAAACAAGTTCTTAATATTGGCATTTGTCTAGAAATCACTGTGTAAGTTTAACCATCCCCAGTGTAAGCCATCCCCAGTGTAGGCCATCTGTCATCACCTGCATGTACTCCCCAATATTCAGCTTTTTAACCTGTATTAATGACCAGCTACCTCAATCTACTGTATCTTACCTGCAGCAACCAGTATATACGACGATGAAATGTTGGGATAATAGCAGAGTGAGTGTATAAGACATTTAGACACTACAGAAAAAAAAGACAATTTAAAAACAACAATGATAACAACTGCATTTTAAGACCAAAAGTAATACATCAAACATGTCAAAATTGGGCTGCATTTGTCCCCAGTCCTCCCACTCAATATGAAACTTGGCAATGTGATGTCATGTGATGTCAAAGCAACTTGATCTGGGGGACAAAATAAAAGAATTCCAATCTCCTGAGTATTGGAAACTATTAATTTGTCCTCCAGATTGAGCTTCATTCCAACGTGCTGCAAGGGGCTATATGGATACTACTCAACAAAGAACCATATTCTCAAGAGAATGACTTTTGGTCTGAAACTGGAAAACATTAATTACCAACTAGAGAGGTCTATTACGAGTGCAAACATCTTCAAACTACATTTCTGAAGTTTTCCATATTCTGCAAATTCAAACAATCCAAAGGCTTGTTGTGAACATGTTTTTTGACTGTTACAGTCAAGAATTTCAAAGGTAAATATATATATGTTATTTGCCAGCCAGGAGGTCCAGATAGGGAAAATCTGTGCCAGAGGTCTTGAATATACGGACCGTTAGGCCAAGGTCCATTTTCAAGACCGAGGGCACAGTTTTTCCCTATCTGGACCGACTATAGGTTGGTAAGTAACTTTTTTTCCCCGTATATTTTTCACTTGTTTTTGTAATTTTTTTGTTTTGTTGTTTAGCGGCAAAGGATACTGGACCGCCAGCCTGGGCAGACACTGACAAAATACCGCTTGCTCAAACAGCCAATCAGAACGCCAATTTTTTAGGATACCCGACTGGAAAAAAATAAATACTGATTATTTTTAATAAATGGCAGCGAAAAACCAAAATACCAAGTTCGCAGATATGGAAAACTGCAGTAATGCTAACATTTGCCAACATGCTGGTTAATAGTTGTTCTTTACAAAAACTATACACTTCAACAACATACATTGACTCCATAAACTTTTAGTTTACAGTGGTCCTCCCTTATATATGAGCTTGAACTTGTTCTCTTTTTCCACGTGTATCCATCTTTACGGTAATCCTGATACAGTACAAAAGAATATGAACAACTACAGTACACATTGAGTGGGCTACCTGTGTTGTAGAGTGAATGACAGCTGTCTAACCGCTGCATTAAATTTAGTGCAATCAAAAGGATGATAGGCTTATAACTCTTGAGATCTCAACACAAAGACTTTTTTTTATATATAAATTGTCATTTCAGGACATAACAACATACCACACTAATTAACAATAATTTAATAAATGCAATAATGATTATCAGCAATACTTATCCAACTATTCAAGTTAGAGTACAAATAACCAGGAGAAAGCCTGGAGAAGTACAAATATCTTGTGAATATCCTCTAGGTTATTTTGTACAGTAGAAAAACAGATTTGAAAAAAAAACAAATGAGTATAAGCCCAGAGCTTATGACTGGGATTTCATGGTATTTCAATACTGACATGTATCAAGGGTTTTTTAACACCCTGTGGGTTTAAATAATGCTGAAAGGTTATCAAGAGCTCTATGAAACTAATTCAAAAATCGTAACAAACCTTGACTTTTTGTTTATTGAACAAAAACATTGAACCATTTGGAGGTCTGAAAAATAATTTTCAAAAAGAAAAATATATAAATAATATGCAAATATATATACCATTGATTTCATCTTTACAGCAACACAGAATAACATAAGCTCTGAAAGTCATGCTTGAGGCTTTTTGGCTGATTCTCAAACAATATTGAACACTAACTTATTAATTATCATAAATTATAAGGTACATTTTTTTATATTCTTGTTCATAACAACTTTTTAGCATTAAACTGCTACATCTTAACCGCATTATGAATATAAACCTGTATATTTATCAATCTTTCTTTATTTTAACTTCAGTTAGGGAAGTTTCGTTTTTCATTGGGAGGGTGGGAGAGTGAGAAGGAGGAGGGTGGAAGGGTGTGAGGAGGGAGGGAGGGCTTGGGCTTCAGAGGGGAGGGTCATTGGTAAACAATTTTGCTTTTTTGGAGGGACGAACATTTTTATTTTGATGAAAGCTTTTCCTTGTTGAAAAATGGCCTTACTCCATTAGAATTGCAAGGTTTGCAGCAATAATATCAATTTGAAGCAATATCATACAATATGAAGAGCCTACTTGTAAAAATTACAGAGTTTGTATGGAAGAAAATTGGAATTTCCAGGGGATAGGGGGTGTCTTAAAGAATTCCTCCGTGAGGGGGGTATGGATAATTTTTGGAACTACACATTAATTATTCATAATTTGATTATATATATATATATATTTTATAATAAGGCAAATGAATTTTTGAAAAATTTTAGTTGAAGTTATGTCTAACTGTTTTGCATTTGAAGTTTTTACCTGCTTGTGACTTGTTTTGAGAACCATGACTCATGCTTGTCAAAGCTAATAAGTACAGACAACACCTCCTGAAAAAATGGATACAATATTGAGCCTAATTAATCCACCAATAAGAAAGAAGATACTTATGAGCTTATGAAAGGGACTTTTAGCTCAATAGTGTATGAGTAAATTGAGATGGATAGGAAGCCAATGTTTTTGATAAGAGATTATCTGTGGCTTTTATATTATTAAAGTTTTTATATTAGTAAAGGATCGAATCTCGTAGATATAGGAATTATATTGATAAATTTATATACAGAATATGTTAATTTGAAATGGTGAAATGAAAAGATTTCAATGTTGTCAAGTGGTGTGATATATATATAGCTTTTCATGTGAATGTTAAATATACAATAAGCTTTGTAGCTAGGATATAGTAATAACAATAAAATAAACATTCAATGGAAAATATTTATAACAATAAAAATACTCTTCCTATCAAGAACACTATTTTATGAAACTCATGCAAACAGTTTTAATCCTAAGAAATGCAAAACTACTTTAAACACACTGGTTATTCAATACCAATGGCAAAAAACATACATATATTATTGATAAAGCCTTACTGTTTTCAAATTTTAATGAGACCTGTTTGACAAAATAGAGAACAATTTTCATTTTTCAATTAAAACTTATTATTTCAAGATAAAACCACATCTTCTGGCATTATTCAAAATGGTGCTAAAATTCAACCTCATTATTGGACTTTTTTGATTGAAACTCAAAAATGACTGTAACTTAGAAAATAACCAAAAAACAAAATCAGGTAGTGGAATTATTCACATCCCAAAATTTCGTAACCAAGAATTTGAAATACTTACAAAAGGTTTATTTTTGGTTATTATAGTATTTGAATGAGATCTCTTAAAAATTTTAAGAGATCTTATTTCTCATCCCTCTTGTTTAATAATTCAAATGCTTAAGATTTTGAGGAATTCTCTATTTCTTCATTATCTTATTTGCTAGTAAAATACTTAATAATTAAAAATCTTAACCAAAGAAATAATTTCCTTGGGAATAATTAAGGTGAAGACAATATCAGAGTAACTAAAATTTGTGACAAACAAAATAAAGAATATATATAATATTTTGGCATTTTTCTCTCTATGATTATTGTAGAATTTAGTTATCAGGATAACTTCCTCAAAGGTTATAGATTAGGCAAACTTCTTGTCTAGTACATGAGAAGGATAGCCTTGGTGTATCGTCCAAGTAATCTAAAACAGGTGTATGTAAGAGATTCCAGTTTTCATAGAATCAAAACAAAGATTTTTCGGTGTTTTCAGCTTGACAAGACTTCGATAAAAAACTATGAATTTATGATTTTATTCAAAGCTGATGTCAAGTCTGACAAACTGCAATGCAAGCAGGGTCAAATGAAGCAGTCAAGACAAGAAATAATAAGAAAATATGGAAGTATTTGCACATACGTGAACACCTGTAAGTAAGTTAAGTTTGCTCACTGGCTCGTGAAAAAAAACCATACATTGCGAAACAAAGATAACAGAATGCAAAACCATTGAAGGAATTTTTCAGATAAAAACACTAGGCCTAGAACGAGAGCAGATTGTACGAGACTAGTGGTTTTGTTATCGCTTACTCCRCTGTCAGAAGTGAGTACTCGAGAACAAACAGGAAACACGAGTTTACGTCTCTGAGTCGTCAATAATATTGCTCGACGTACTTCAACTGCAACTCACCTCACTAGAGTTCCATTTTAGCTTCTGAGAGGAAAACTCCTCTGCTTTCTTGATGTTGGAGAACTTGGCTGGTAGCACTATTTGAGCGTCCGTTTGGTTCGTAGAAAGCGAGGCAGGTTTTTCACCGGCGATCGCTGTCATGCCAAGATTGCCAAGGAGTTGAGTCCAACCAAACACCATTGAATGACATGYAGAACAGCCGCAAACGAGAGATACTCCAACAAGGCATAGCCTGCCTTGTACTCATGCTAAGACAGGTACATTTATCGAATTTTGGCTGGATAGAAGCAAAGGGTAAATAGAAAATGCAGCGTATGAGTTCAGTAGTTTACTCTGTTTTCACCTGCCGCCATTTTGGAAGCAAACATACATGACGTCACGCCCGCAATTCTACCTCCCTGCGGCAACGCCTCTAGATAAAAATAAGACAGGAACGAAAGGAATGGAGAACTTGGAACGAATTTACTTTGAAAATGAACTAAAAACCTTTCAAATACAAAGAAAACTCATAAAACTTACTTTAAAACTAGAAATCGCTCATATTTGTATATATTTAATTTCCGGGAAGACAAAACCCACGCAACAAATTCTAGAGAGTTCTATCATCAGTCCGGGATTAATTCGTTTTTATCATGTAAACATACTTTCCTAGTCAAGTTGAAAAAGGAATTAAAAGATTTATGCCAATCTATATCTGCTTATTGCTATAGTACCAAGCTGAAATACGAATACACTTGTATTTACCTAGAAACAGCAACGTTGTCTTGTCAACTACTTTCCTTCACGGTGTACGCAGTGAAACGTAACTACCGGCGAGTAGCTTCGATTCGTGAAAGAAGTTTTTCAAAGACGCTATAAAAAACTAATGCTCAATGCGAGTCATTCTTATTTAAATACGTGGATGTTATCAATAATTTGTGTCATTGAATTCTTAAAATAATACGTTTTTTTTCCATTGTTTAATATTTTTTGTCAAAACGAAAGCAAATAAGTACTTTACCGGTTGCGCCAGACCACAAAGAGCGATTACCATTCTATTATGTGRTGAAAAGGGTTGACATTGGTAACAAGAAAGTCTTAAATTCGGTATAGTTTTGTGCCTATACAAACCAAAMGTAGCCCAAGGTGATTTCCTAGCACGTAGATTAAGAAAATTTTAGATCGGACTACGATCTCAATTTGATATTTTGATATTCATATAATAATATTAATTTTGAGACTATTTTCTTCTCCTGAATATGAAGAATTTTGATAATAATCGATTCTGTCACCAAGGGGGTAAAGTGGAGAAAGGTTGAATCGTCGAGTAATAAGGTAATAACTCATAGCGAATTCACGCACGGTGAGAGGAAGTTTAATTGATAATATTAAAGCCGCGATTTACAGGAAGAAAGATCTCGACTCTTGCTGAGATACTCACCACAAGACAGGCTATATATAACCTTTCTGTTTTAGTCACAGCATATATGATATACATGAAAAGTGATACAAAAGGTTATATTAACTGTGAGATCGGTAGGACATGAAATATCAAAGACTGTAATGTTAGGCGGATATTGCAAATCTATAAAGTAGTGAAAAAATCGCAAAAGTTCGAAAAAAGGGAAATGAAATGCATGAAGAACTATGACGATAATAAATGAGCACACTAGGTGGACCGATTTAGGTGAGGTGAGGAGGACACGTGACTAAAGGGTGCCAATGTGGTTAGAAGTTAACTGACAATAAGCCTGAAGCGAGATGACGTTTTACCCCCGTCTCTAGACCATAATCCTTTTCACACTGCTTTTGTTCTTTAATTATTGTTCCTGTATTCTCTAAGGAATTAAAAATTTGAATATGAAAGAATTTTAAAAACTATTATGGTATAGCCGTTTGGGGGTAAAACGTCATCTCGCTTCAGGCTTATTGGGCAAAAAAATAGTATAGTAGTAATAAATTATGCATTTGATATTTTCTCTTATTCTCTTTATTTCAAAAAATACTAGTTAACTGAAAACAATCTAAAATTAGTAGCTAAATTTAACTGATATTAAATCATTTTGGTTAATATCATGGCCAGCGCTCGTAAAATTAGTTACAGTGAACTGATATTCAGTCGTAAAAATAGTAGTCAATTGACAATTGGGTACCCCCATTGGCACAGTCTGACTAGTCACCCGCTAGTCACCCGCTAGTCACCCCCCTTATTTGCACAAATATAAAAACATTGTTTATAACTGGAAACATTTATCTGGATAAACTTTAATTCGGCGCGGTTTTCTAGAGGATGTCGAATTTAATTTTTAACAATTTCCTGTCAGGGGCCTAGCGAGTTGGTAGGGAGGCGAGGGAGGGGGGGGGGGGGGGGGGGGGGGGTGCGAGGAGAGCAATGTACCATTTTCCCGCCAAATCCAAAGGAATGCTCAGACCAAAAAGGATATACGAGCAAGAAGCCCCTCAAAGCTGCAGCAGGTGATGAGAATTGTCGTTTTACTTTGGATTAGAATTTAGAGATTTAGACTTGCTTTTTTACAGGACAAATTTTACAACTTTAAAAAAGTAAAACAATTCAACCTCAATTTTGCAGGTCCCAAATATGCACGGCTGGGCATATAAAATTAAGTATGGATAGCACAATTCCGTGTGAGGAACGCCTAAACGAAAAAAATTTTGGACGTGAAAAATTCGTCGAGTAACGAGTAACACAGCAAAATCATTATCATCCTTCATACCTGTGTGGCACGTAGGGCTGACACCATGGACTTCATGTTATCGTTTGTATTAGTTTACAAGCAATAAATAATATGTGATGGAGCTGCTTGACCCATGCACGTTGCCAGAGCCCTGTTAGCTGGCATTAGCTGTTACCACCTCCCAAGACGAGGACGTAGGGATGGACTTTAGTTTCGAGTTCTCTTTCCTCAGTCTTAGTCTCGTTTGTGTGTTATAATATTCGGCTATTCAACGAAAACCCGTGGCATTTTAATCCGTAGTGCATACATTCTTTACTATAAAATGGACCTTAATGAAACAAAAGTACACATTTGTACACAATCGAGGCTAAGACTGAGCAAAGGCGAACTCTAAATGGGAGTATTAAGTTTATTACCATAAATATGTTACCAAACTGAATATATATAAAACATGATTACCCTTACCTACCATCTATTTCRCTCCGGCCTGCTCTCAGTCTGACCTCTAGCTCAGCTGGTAGAGCATCGGTAGTACAATTCCGAAGGTCGTGGGTTCGATTCCCAGCGAGGTCGGAAATTAATTTTTCCGAATTTAATTCCAAGGTCTTTCCCAAGCACTACAACTTAGGGCTTTCGCCCGGAATAACCTCGTTCCCAAGCACTATAACTTATCTATATTTCTATATCTTCATATATATAAACATTGCAAATTGAGACTAGAGAAAGGCGTAGTCTCGCTATATACGTACTTTTTAATGAGATAATTTTCTCTTATAAACAAGATACTCTAGTATAATTCTTTTACTGGCATTCTATTTATGAGCTCTCTTAATCTTATCTTTTGTTTTTCCCCCTTTTTCTCCCCCCTCCTCTTTTTGTATTTTACTATTACCTTTTCAGTGACTGACCTAAAAAAATGTAAATTTTCAAATTTTCAGCTAATTTGCTTCAATCAGTTTATCTGTAGCAATTAGCTTGTGCTTTTAACTAGGTAAATGTCTTGAACTTTATGTATTGTTGTAAATTATGGCACTAAATAAAAAGTTGAGTTGAGTTGAGTACTTTGAGTTTTTATTCCTCGAAGTTTTGAAATTTGGATCTGTTTGCGAATGAACTCATCAACCAGTTACATCTTGTTTGCTATGATTTATTTACAAAGTATCTAAGCTGCAAAATGTTTTACGTTCTTTTGAACGAAGTGAACTAAGTACTGAGTGTTATTGCACTTGTAATCCAGGTCGATTTATTTCTCCAGGCGCCGGAGATAGTGAAGCTTCTAGCAAAAGTTGCTAGCTTCCAACATAGTTAATAGAGGGGAATGGTTATGAAACCTATTGTTATCAGGTCTTTGTTCGCTTGTGAGGTTGAACCGGTCTTGACCGTGCAATATGTTTGATTTATGCTCATCCGAAATTGCAAAATAAGTAAACATACACTTTGTCTATGGGATTGTTGTAAGGAATATTCAAATATCTCTTTAAAATCTTTGAGTATATTTTGAACTAGCTGCCAAAAGAAAGATTTTGGTCTGTTCACTCAGCCATTGCCAACAATGGTAAAACAAGGTAAAACAAAGGATTATATTGTGCACGGTCACGCTTGAAAAAAGTGAACAATAACCTATAACAATAGAGTTTCCTAACCATTCCCCTCTATTAACTATGCTTCCAATCATGCAACAGGATTGGACACTGGCCAAGAGATTATGGAGTACCGTTCGCTGGAGGATATCAGACCACCGCCCCTATTGCAGACGGCCTGGCTTCTGTTAGAGATGCAGGAACAGCAAGACAAACCCAGCACGCCAAGACAAACCCAATAACAACTCTTTGAGGACATTATTAAGGTAGAAGGCTCGAGATACAGTTTATAGAGTCACCAGGTTGTGGCAATCTTATATGATAAAGATGATCATTGATAATTATGGCTCTGCGCGATGCAACCTTTCTGAGAGCTTCGAATAGGACGTTCGCATGATGGCGTCACTGACATCTACTACCAGACTCCTTTGCACACTATCTTTTGTTCAGATATTTAGCACCATTGTCTTGTAGTTACAATAAACTGTAAAAAGAGAGGGGTGGTGTTACCCGATACCCACCACCTCTGGAAGTGAAATCTTAGATATTGTCGCCAAATATCTCCAAAACTAAAAGCCAAATCACAGAAATAAATGGACTGTCTGTTTGCTTGTATGCTAAAACATATTTGCGTATAGAAATTGCCACTACAGACCCCCAGTATCGAGCATTTGAACAGGTCTCTCAGGGGGGAGGGGGTATGTACCGGTACCCACCATTTTAATTCATAAAATCGGCTCTCTATTTTGGATCACTGTTTTGACCTCGCCACTTAACTCGAACTATACATCAGGGGCGTAGCCAGGATTTTTCCGAAGGGGAGCCCCTTGGATAAGTCGATGCTGTTATCCAATAAATTTATCCACTGCATAAGATTTATCCGTCAGATAGCGCTATTCACCCTTTGTACAGCCAAGCCAAGGTTTTCTCTCTCAAAACCTCTTACCTTGGATTACAGCATGACTTACACTACAAGTCAAAAGTTATTAGGAATAAAGAGATTTGGATCCTGTTTTAGCCGTAATTTATGGTTCCGACTTAGACAATAGGAAAAATCTTGATGTCCCACCAAAGACTTGACAGTATTCGCACCAGTCCCTTTCGATGCGAGTATAAATACTAGTGCCCCCATCGGTCACTCTCACTCTTCACACCAGTAGCCGTTATCTTCGCAMTTCAAGTGGCTCATTGGATAGCAGCTCTCGAATGTACTCTCTCCTGGCTGAGAACGAAGAACGAGTTCCCGTTCACAATGTTACTCAAGCTCAGGCCTTGCTACAAGGTGGACAACCTGAACCGCTAGACCTGGCTCCTGTCGCTGGTGCTGACCCGATCAACAACAACTCGAGGTTAAGTTCTATCTAGTTCTAAGACCTTCTAGGTCCCCACGTGTTTTAATTTACCTAATGTCGGTTGCCTTAAGTTGCCTCACAATATGTTTTGCTGAGTATTTTTTTCTCATATTCACCCGCCAATTTCGGTTTATTTAGTTTGCTTTCATGGTACTATAACATAAGTGAAGTTGCCTCGCACAATATTTCTTAGCGTTTTCTTCATATTATCCTCAACTTCGGTTTGAGTTCTTCTTGCAGTAATTTTCGATGTAGTTTGGCCTCGTCAGTATTTTGAGTGCTTTGTTTTACATTCGCCTCAACTTCAGTTGAGTGATTTTCGCGGAAAATTTAAATTGTTGCCTCGCAAGTGATTTTGCTCGAGTGCTTTGTTTTATATTTGCCTCGACTTCAGTTGTTGAGTGCTTCTCGCAGAAAATTAGATGAAGTTTCGCACATTATTTTGCTCGAGTGTTTTGTTCTATATTCGCCTCAGCTTCGGTTGAGTGCTTTTTGCGGTTATATTAAAATCGCAAATGATTTTACTTGAGTGCTTTGTGCGAGATCATGACGTAACAGACTATGAACTTAATTTGCATATTCGCACGTGTAAATCGAGAGAGAGAGAGAGAGAGAAAAAGAGGGAAGAATAGTAAGTCGAGACGGATAGTTTGTGTTAACATAAATAAATAAATCACTTTTTATTTAAGTGTTTAGTCGTTCTAGTGCTTTCGCACTAATTGGGGACACTTTTCACTCACACGCACTACCACTACATTTAATATTCTATGCACACAACGCTCAACTCACATGTTGATTTTTATGCATGTAAAGAAAAGAATCGAAAATACAACACAGCTAAGTCGAATGCTGCTTAGTTTATTCAAGGAAACAAAGATAAAGAAAGAATCGAAAATACAACATGCTTTGCTAAATTTCGCTCATGCATGACTTGTATTTGCTTCGTCCTTTAATTGTTGAGTGTTTCTCTTTGTTCAAAACTTCGGTTTCTCGAGGTCCTTTATAATGCATGAATTCTAATTTGCCTGGTATATTTTGCTGCTGATTTATTTCTCTTTGACTATAATTCAATAATGGTGTTGCTAGATATACAGCGTGTTGTTTTAACTTCGCGAAAGTGCTCATTTTCGTTCACTGTTGGTAGTTCAGTCGTGTTTTTGTTTAGTTGGTATGCGACAACCGTTTCGTTTCTCTTTAGCGCACACATGCATTGCGGTCTGGTTCGTTTTCCTGGTCTTCGGATTTAACTTGCTGCCCATACGTTTTTTATTATGAAATGTTGATTTTCTTCGCTCTTTAGAATGGTCGGGCTCTCTTCTAATCCACATGTTGGTTAGCGGATTTCATGCTGTCGGTGTGCCCCTTRGGTTGTTTTGGGCTCTTCCCTTTTGTTCTCCCATCTTCAGCTTTTCCATGGCAGTTTGAAAGGGAATCTAAGGCCTAGGGCAAACGTCGAACTTTCCATGCACTGAACTCATCAAAAGCATTGGATATCATGTGATAATGAGGCGGCATTCTTTGATGTAATTAAGTTCGGTGCATGGAAAGTTCGACGTTTGCCCTAGACCTTATTCTCTGTCGGTCTACTGACATTCAGGCTGCAAATCCCCTGGGTATTTTCCTGCCTAGCGCTCATGCCCGTTCTGTTTCCTTTTGCAGTCTCGTGTTTCTTCCAAGTCATCTTTCTCGTTCCCTGAATGAATGGGAAATTGTTGTTAAAGCTCTAGCGGGTCGTGAAACATTTTGATGGCACAGCCCTTTTGTAACCTGGGTATGGCAGCCAATAACTCTCACCTGGATTCAGTGTTCATTGACTCTGTGCTAGCTGGTCAGCGGTCCGAAGATGCCTCCAGGCTTGCGTTCCGAAAGCCTTCTCAGTTTGTCGCGGGTGAATTACACAACTTGCTGGCTCTTTCTGGAGCCCAATTGGGGAAAGTAATGTTTCATGTTGGCTGGCGGAACCTTCAGACAGCATCCTTCTACCTCAAGCTTGCCAATGTCCTGCGCCCCGGCGGTCCACTGGAAYTGCTTGCTTCGGACGACCCGTTCGTCAATTCGTCTACATCGCAGTACTCTGATTTCAATGTCCTAAAGAATTTCGTCACAGCTTTTCCTTGTTTAAAGAAACCTTAGATTCTCGCTCATCACAATTTCTTACGATAAACCACGTCACTTATACAGGGCTGTCAACCCCCGAGATATTCAAATCTGGAGAATTGATAGAGAAGGGCATGACGTCACAGCGCGTCAAAAAGCGTGCAAAAAGACGTCTTTCGCTTTGTAACATTTGATGTGAGTGGTTTATTTCTGACCAATCAGATTATCGCTTATATTACAATGGCCTGCTTGCAAGGACAGTATATGAGGAACGTTTTGATTTTGTTAGCGATGTAAAATAACACCAACGACATGAAATAATTGGAATTTTATGGTTGTGAAAGTCTAGTCTCACAAGACAAGAAATGGTGAGCTTCGGGGACTATCCGGGAGATTTGATACTCTAATCTGGAGACCGGGAGACACGGTCCAAAATCTGGAGACTCCCGGTTTATCCGGGAGAGTTGACAGCCCTGCTTATATCCAATGGGCGTTGTTCCTTTGTTAAGGTTGGGGCTTTAGAATGGGTGGTAGGTTTGGGGATTGTCTCCATATTTTCATTGGGTTTAGGGTACCGTTCCAGAAGTTGACTTGCCTTCGCGGTGTCATCTTGCCCCTTTCACCGTCGTCGTACGAAGATCGTGTTTGGTTGACCCGCCCTGTTTTACCCACACTGTTAAGTTTCCTTTTCCTTCATGTAACCGAATGCAGTCGTTGTTCACTCCCACTCTTAGTTAGACGAGTGTGAAAGGGACTGATGCAAACAGTATACTGTTCTAGCTCTTGTGGGATATAGCAACGGTAACTAAGAGGAGTCGGAACCATGAATCCACCCATCAACCGGGATGAGGGACGGCGGAACAGTTCTTAAAGTGGAGACTCCCCCAGCCCCCGTCTCCGCCGTCCATGATCAACCGGTTGTACCATATTTGATTTGTCATCAAGGGTAATGCATACGATGTCACATTTCGATTCAATTCAATTCCATATATTTTATTCACACACTTGTCTTTATAGAGTTGAATAACAAATCATAATTGTTTATATTTAAAATTTATAATAGATTTTATAGAAAGATATATAAATAATAAACATAACTATTGGTCTACCTGTGGTTCTATACCATGATACCTTGCGCGTCACATCACATGGCGTCTATCTTGCTGGCAGAATTGGTTTATGTTGCTCAAACTTGATTGTTAATAACACTGAAAACTTCAGGTATTTAAAGATATATTATGTGAAATTATAATTTTAGAAATACTTTTAATTATTTTATAGCATTGAGAGACTAATAACCCTATGTTAACCGCTACATTTTCTCTTATCAATGCTTCTTGAAAATGGCGGGCGTTTTGGGAGCTGGCGTTTGGAAGGGAAGCTTGCAAACTTATTACGAGACGGAAAAGGTCTTATTATTTTAGCCTATTGAAACTTAAGTTATTGGGCTTACTAAGTATCTAATACAGGCCAGGTTTTTCATAAATAATTGATTTTTGATGATGAATTGTGTGAGCAAAGACTTATTTTGATAAAATTTTACGACCGAAAACCATGTCCGGGCTGCCTAGGTTTTTTCTATATTCAATTTATTTTGATAGCTGAAGTTTAATATTTCTTATAACATTTTCCCGAGAGAGATATTAATAAATTACTGAAAAAGAGAATTGGGTTGCCTGCGTTTTTTTGACACCTTAGGTGTGAAATTTCACGCCTTTAACATGCAATTTGGAAAGAAAATTATATGAATATCTTTATTATCAAGTCACTTCTAGAATACACTTGTTTCAATAAAGTTAGTCACCTGAAAAAGCTACACAACTGAGACCAACAAGGATTATGGGTAGATATATTTTACATGTTTTAACTGCTTGATAACTATTCTCACTGCATACATAATTGTATGTCACGTAGGAATTTAGCAACCCCCCAATTATGTACATTGGAGTTTGTGTAGTGCGGGTGTAATGCTTTGAGACCCCTCCATGTATAAGCACCACACCCAGATCCTTGAATCATTCTGTCGGAAGGTGCCTAAGGAGAGAGAAGAAGATTCACCCCACCCACCTCCCCTGGTGGTGGTTGACAATGCATCACATGCTTTTCGCATGCTCATTGGCAGCAGTCGTGGTCACCTTCCATATCTTAATTCCCGTGGCTCGGTAATGAGTATGCAGTGAGGATAAAATACTGATGATGGACTGGAGATCTTATACCAGTTACAAGAGCATCCTCGACTGCTGCAGTTTGTGTGGAAACCTTTACTTGTTGAATACTTCCCATGATTCTCAGCGATCACTGCTTTCTAGGTTTTTGTTGACTAACTTTATTGAAATAAGTGTTTACTGAATACAATTTAAACAAATGTTGTCCAACTGACACCCACTTAAGCCACTCCAGGTGCCTTAATAGCGGGGCTAGAGTTAGACTGGTTTGAGCGTGTTTGTGATCACAAATCCATTTTAAGGATGGACCATTTGATTTTTGAGGGGGTTGGGGGTTGGCAATTCGAGCACAGCTTTAAATTGTTAAGGATTTCCACCTAGATCACATAAGAAGGGTCATGTTTTGGTGACCTGGTTGCTCCTCATTAAGAGGAAAAGTTCCTTTCCTTAAGAGAGTCGGGAATACGAAGAAATTGTAACTCATCAAACAAAGCGTTCTTGACGAACCACAATTCATGCTCCTTTTGACTCAGTAGTGGAGGGTCCTTCTGCACTACTGCACTACTGTCGGGATTGCCAATATGAACCTTGAGGTAACTTGTCGATTCTAGAATTTTTGTGAGGGAGACCCATGAGTTCAATTCTTTGCTGTAACTCTTTGCTTTTTGACAAAGCATCCAAAACTGGACATCAATGCAAAAACTGAGGGGAGAAGTCTGCTTTCCAAATATAGCATTTATTAACAAAATATTAAAACACTCATTAATAATTCATAAGCTTATGGTCCAATTGGGGCAACCATACACGTCACGTGCATGAACCTTTATACCCGATAAAGTCCTCTTCATTAGTATTAAAGTGATTTTATATAAAGACACATGTGTCTTTATATAAAGACACATGTGTCTTTATATAAAGACACATGTGATCTTTATATAAAGACCACTCGAATACTATGAGGATGACTTCATCAGGGATGAAGTATGCATCCAAGTTTAGATGAAGACATAAAGCTTCATCAAGGTCATAGTCAACCCTAATGATCTTTGACTAACGTGCCTGTCTTTGCCTTGGCACGCAATATCCAACGYGTGGGAGCTTCTATCGAATCTGGTTGCGCATGCCCATGACGTCAAATCTCTATYGAAGTATAAAAATCCATGTTCGTGACGTGTATGGTGGCTCCAGCTGAGCCAAAATCTTATAAATTGTTCATGAGTGTTTTAAGCAGTTCAAAAAACTCGTAGATCGCGTTTTATCTGGCATAAAAGCACTCGGCTACGCCTCRTGCTTTTATACCTGATAAAACACTCCTACTCGTTTTTTAAAGACTATGTAATTAACCTGAATTTACTTGATTTTTAATTAATATGTTATGAATTGAAAAAAATGATTTTAAAGATGTATTAACTGAATATGGTTAATTAATAACAATAATTTATTCACTTATTTTGTGCGCATTCCATACAATGATCATGCGCGCATTACATTAATAATAAATGTAACTATTTAACTATTTACAAATGAAATGAATAAATAAATATTAATATATACTGAAAATAAAATATGCATCTTGTGTTTATGAAGAACATCAGCAACACGAGAGGTGTAAAGGAGATAGCTCAGTCTTCCTCTGATGAAAAAGCAATGTTGTTACTGGGGATTTCATGGCTCAACGTCGTCATCTGCAGAAGGTTGTTTGAAATTTCCTGTTGTGGAAATTATCGCTTTTTAGTGGCCATTTTTCAGATTCTCTCCTACATGCAGGACACCTTTAAAACTGTGGCATTGCATGCAATTTCCCTCGATGTCCTCAGGTTTTATCATTTTATGCACAATATTAACATATCTGGACACCAGGAGAAACCGCTTGTCATTAAGTGTTCAGTACATTTGGTGTTCTTCCTTAGTTGGAACCTCAATGCTCAAAAACTTGTTTTTTCTCTGGAAGATTTCTTTTTGTTTGCGGTATTTTGCAATCCAAGTGAAATAGGGGTCATCATCTTTGTTTAACTTCGGTTATTACTTTTCAAACACAGCTTGAAAGTAGACACTATTAAACTCGGGGGTCGGGTTATTATACTATTGTCAATGGTATCTTTCCTAATTTCGTCTAGTATATACGTCACCATTTTCCATGCATCTTGTGCCTTTTGAGATATACTATTGTTATGTACTTTTCTTTGCATCAGAGGAAATAAACGAGCAATATGGTTATGAAGACCATCTCCTGTGTCAAGATCTATAAAAGACTAATTCAACCAGTCAGCAGTGCTTATATATCACTGAATTGCCATGGACTCAATTGGTGATTGTATTGAACTCTTCCTTTGCCTGTCAGCTGCTCTTTCAGCTTATTCACCTGTCCTTCAAAGGCTCGTAGTACAGCCTATCGTATAATTAAATAATCATGAGATAAGTGTTCTTACAGTTAAAGAAAAAATTAGCATTAGATGATTCCTCAGCTGGTGTGTAGCTCAGACTCACCTCTACTACTGTGGGCTGACACYGACTCACACGCACTTCATTAGATTACATTCTATATTTTGATACACACCTCTGTGAAAGTAACTGAAACATCGGTTTAGTATTTGATAAACAACATGGAGAGAAAAAACTTACTTTTTGCACAGTGGGGCTGGTTTCATTTTCTTAGTTTCCCAAGGACTCTCACTTACTAGTAACTACGTGGTCATTGAGGCCGTATTTTGTTATATTTTGAGGTTAATTAAGCGAGAAACAACGAGAATTGTGACCCCCATTTTTTATTGCATTTTGCATATTTGAAAGGTCCATGGTGCAATGAACAACTAAAGTTGGGAAAAATGACATTTCTCCTATTTCAAGAGAATCACCTTAAGAGGTTACCTTCAAAGACATTGTGTAAGTTGAGTTGGCTATCAAGCACAGAGTAGGTGCTGTCTGATGAAATTATTAGAACAGCAGTTTCTTCATCAACTCTGATGTGGGTGCTTGATCCTAGAACCAATAATGGTGGGTTGGAACCTGGCTGCAAGCCATAAAGCTTAAAAATAAGGAAATAAATTGATTCTGAATATGTATGTATCTCAGGCCTTTGTGTTATGTCCATAACTTTTTTGATGTCATCCTGTTCAAAATTTCACTTTGGCACGACATATCTCACCATGTGATATAAAGTTTCCCTATAAATCACAACCAAGGTTTTAAGGACCTTCATGGCATTGTTCGCGCACATCCTAGAAATGTTGCATGCACTCTAAGACAAAATTATCTACTATACTAAAGAAGTTCAAGCTCAGGACATCAGGGTGGCTTTAACGGGAAGATGTTGGGAGGCCAATTTTTCAACAAAAGAGTCTGTAAATTTTGGACTGTGGAGACGCCATTTTGTGTTTGGTTTGCTGCATGTGGCCTCGTTGTCCTGTTAAGATTCGTGACGTCAAAAGCAATATGGCTGTCGTGTGACAAAAGCGAATGTTTTATAAATTAGTGAAACACACTTCTTTTTTATAGCTTCTGATTCCTCCAACATTTAATCTAAATCTTTAATCCGCAAAGGTTGCCCATCACTACAGATATACGATAATGTAAATCATGATCACGAAAAAAGAAAAACAAAGATAATGCTGTAGTAATAAAAAATAATACAATAATTACAATAATTAAAACAGATCTTGATGAAAAAAGATAATACTGGTAATCATTGTAATCATAGTAATTAGAATCAATAATTATAAATAGACTAAGGATCTTTTCTGAAGATACTGATTTCTCTTACTTTGGTAACAAAACAGAAGAAGTATTTGAAGGTTTTCCTGGTCTATCTTTGAATGACACTGGCGGTGCTATGCTCTTTGCATATAGTTGGCCAGGTCCTTGTTGGAAGGATAGAACCGACACCTTGTTTTTGAGGGAGGYTTACGTGTAGTAAACAACTCTTCATTTCGGTCACGTTTCTCGCTCGTATTGTCAGTTCCTGTATTTTTCCGATATTTCGTGGATTGACTGATTCCCTGATGCCAGCTGCCTAGAAGTTGAGTTGCATGTTGCATGTTCTTCATTAACGTTCAAAGTGTGAGTATAAATAACAATTGTGTGAAATCATTGAAGAATAGCATTTCAAAGGCATACAACTTTCAAGTAGGTTTCTATTAGGAAATTCCAAAACTTTTGCCTTTGAACGATACTGGTGAATTCTGAGGTCGTTACACTTGACTGACTTGACTTACCTTCCAGAGAGCTTCCATACAGCTTCTCTTTCTTAAACACAATCAATCTACTGCATGTTTCTTCTTCGTAATCTTGCAGTGTCTGCAGTACAGCCGCATTACTTAAAACATAACCTTTGAAAGGTCAATCCCAAGAGCACATGCTCTAAAGCATGATCCTTGTAGCTCGTTTCTGGATTTGTTAAAGTTTGTCAGATAGAACATTGGTCAATGAAGAGTGCCACACAGGATGCGTATTCAACAAGAGGTCATCCAAAACAGCAGTATACAGAACAGGGAAGAACACAAAGTAATAATCAAAAATATTCAATCTGAAAATGGATCAAAATACAAAACGAGCATTTATTTTTAGCAAAAAAAAATTAACAAACCTGCCATCTTGACCTTGTATTCAAAACACGTGGATCAGTCATTCCTAGGTGTCGACTGCTGACTTRACAGGCTAACCGTCCCATTTGCCATTCCCGGTAGGGTGTGACCATCTTTGTGTGTTTTGCCCTTCACATGCTACTTTAGATCTATTGCTGCAAGTATATTAGTAAATGGTTTGCATATCTGTCATCTCAATCATGCACGTGAAAATTGAAGTCACCAATTAACAGAATATGTCCTGGATGCTCAGCCAGTACTTGCTCCAATAACCGTTAAAACTCTTCATAAAATAAGGCATAGTTAGATTCAGGTGGCCGATAAATTATTAGGATTCTTAAGTAAACACAGCCTCGGACCCGTACATCCATGAGCTCAAAGGTCTCTAAAGACTGATAAATTGTGCTGTTGATCTCAAGTCGGTCTTTATACAGTGATGAGGGTTGTAAAGAAACAGATATCCAGCAGGACACAGGGTTCCCATTTCTACAGCATCAGAGTGCCCGCCAAGGAACCAGGTTTCAGTTAATGCTAGCACATCAATATCATTTTCGATGGTAAAGTCCTTAATCATCATTAATTTTTTCTTAGCTGATCTAACAATCAGGTGAGAGAGACGTTAACATACTCCCCTTTCCACTCTAACATTGTTGTTAACACGTTGAACTGGGACAAGGGTATTAGCAACGCACGATCAATTGTTCTGTGATCTGCATGGTGTGTTGCATAGCCATACGGGAATTTGTAGATAAGAGTGATTAGACTGCTGTTTAAGGCCGTTGGAACGGATGGTTATGCAATTAGACAAATTATGTTGGCAAAGAGTAGAATGTTGCACATGTCGGCGAGTAGTTGACCTGACCATAATTCTACCATTAACAGACTCTGGACCGATTAGTGCGTAAACATCGCCACTAAGCTGGATTGAGAGAGGCATATAGTTAAATGTAGCATCAGAGTTAACATAATAGGAGATGCAGCATGCAAACCATTTCTTCTTCTTTAGTAGTAATTTTGGCACTTCATTTATAATAATGGGACAAACAAAATTAAGCTCCACTATTGTTATTATCAGTAATGATTATCCATTATCATTGTTATTATCCATTGTCCAAGGGGCATCCCCACGAATGACATCACATACATCGATATGCAAATTTTAAGACTTTTGGAAGTGAAGGAAGGCCAAAAAGAAAAATCGCTTCTCCTCGATGACAAGGACCACATTTGCATAGAACATGAAGCATTCCACCATCCATAGCTTTGTCCAGGCTTTCTTCTTTGTCCATGTTTATTCAATGGAATACTGAAGCGTTCTACTTGTACGTGTAAAGTATATTTAGCATAGATAGCTGACTATAACCTATGATTTCTTTCTTTCTTTTATTTACCTTTTCATCATTACTATATGATTTCTTTCCTTTTGTCAGATCTTCTTTACACTATTAACTTGTTTACTTCGGTGAATATTCTAAAGCAGAATAGAAACGACTTCAGACATTATAGTTTGAAATGTGAAGAGAAGGAGGACAAGAACAAGTACCAGACGCTTGCTTCGCTTTCGATAATTCTCTCCTTCATCCATGTTTATTCAATGGAATATTGAAGTTTTCAAAATACTGTTAACTTGTTTCCTTTAGTGAATATTCTAAAGCAGAATAGAAACGACTTCAGACTTTATAGTTTGAAATTCGAAGAGAAGGAGGACAAGAACGAGTACCAGACGCTTGCTGCGCTTTTGATAATGCTCTTCCTTAAATGGTCAACTCTGTCATTCGAAATTTTGCAGCTTTTTTCCACTTCTCCTTTAAATTCTTAGACTCAGACACTAGTAAACCGTCCCAACCAGGTAACCTGGTCTACCCTGACACTTCGGCCATGTTTATTCAAAGCAATACTGAAGCGTTCAACATAGT